CGGGAAATGTCGCGACAAATCCGCCCATTACCGGACCAGACAGACAATCGATTTGCCTCCAAGGCAGAGACTCCAAGGCTCTTGATTCCAAAATATGAAGATCTCCAAGTGGCTGGATGAGGCAAAATAGTTCAGTGGATGACGACGAATACGAATCACAGAAAACAGACTATATGGTTCAAAGTTTTGGGGAAGCTTTCATTCATCAATGGACCAAATATGGCTGACTTGAGATATTTATCATTTAGATAGATCGTTAAATCTAAATATCATGTTTTAATGTTAAATCGAAAGTTAGTTATTTTATGCAAGTAGCTGACTGAAATTGGAATATGTGTACGCATCACATACGCTTCCGATCTGTGCCTGTAAATTTCCGTTCCACGATTAGACATCTAGATTTTTAATTTCAGCATTATCGTTACGTAGAAAGTTGAAACGAAGGGAGGCAAAGGCGACAGTTTTTGATTCACTCTGTTCTAAACTGCGAATTGCCTTTTTTTCACAACACCAACCAACATTATGATAATTGAGCCATTTATCAAATGATGAGTCATAATATGATAAGCGTGAATGATAAGCATAGAGACTCATTAATTCTGAAAGAGAAATGACCTTTCCGTTGTAATTCGCTATTGCGCTGTTGTCTTTTGCGTTGGCACAGTTGTATGCAAGTTTTCTTCCATTTTAAAGTTAAAGTGTAAACCGTTTAATTTCGAGCCTATGCTCAATTCAATTCGAGTCCAATCCTCAAGTTTCCATCAGGTTTCTGCTTTCAAACTCCCCAGATTTGAGTCTTGAATGTTATTTTCTTTCAACACTGAAAATTCATTTTTTTCTGTTATCGAGGTTGTGGCATGTTCTTCTTGACTTTTGTCTGTAAATGCCACTCGAGAGTAGATTTACGAGGGACTAAAAAATACGGATGTTTTAAAGTTAAAATTTAGACTTATCTGCAACGGTTTTATAAACTGTGCTTAAAATACGATCGGAACTTGAACGTTAGTCTCGGGATGGGATATTGGAGGTACGCAGTGATAATGACTACCATTTAGGTGTAAAGAGTCACCAAAAACGGTAAGGTTTTCCTCTGACAATGTCACTCAATGTGATGTACTTTCAATTTCGAAGTGTCTTAAAATAAGGGCACGACACCTCAAAAGGAGGTTTACCGAGGTTGCCCTGTTCCTTGCTGCCGTCAGGTTGTTAGTTCTAAAGTTATCGTTTAAACAGCCATGGTTCTGTAAAACCAGAGGAACCCTAGTGCATTGGTGTTTGTGTTTGTATCGTTGTTTTATTCTCTACAGCAATACTTTACGCATCACGAGTGATGCTTTCCCGGGCAACCTACTTGAAACTCAGTATGTACTACTTATTTTTATCATATATTCTAATTTCACGGAATATCTTTACGACACAAAATCAGTGACTTTTTTAAGTCAGCTCTGCTCGTTGTCAAGGTGCAGTGAAGGAATATCACTCAAGTTAAGCTATGTTTTTATTAGCGTATTTCGCGAGACTTACTGTTATGTTGATGGTAGCCTGAATGAGAACACCAGGCCCAGAGGCATTATTGGTAATGAGGCAGGTGTTGCACAAGGAAATAAAAAGGACGACACGCATCTATGCATTGAGGGGTTACAAAATGTCTCGAGATCATGGTTTGTTTCGATGGCTAGTTATGCATCTGTTGATCAGTCATCATGCTTCAGCCCTACATAATGTTAGAGGTATAGTAACTGTATAAAATTATAAGCTCGCTCGAGGTATGAATGTAATGAAGCTTGCGCCACTGCTGCCTTTTCTTTTAGCACCCATCATTACAGTAAGCTAATTGTCGCCGGTCGTTATTCTACTACTTCTTTTAACATTGTATTTCGCGGTCTCAATGCCGTCGGTCTTGAATGAGTGTGCTTTTAGCCGTCGGTTCCATTCCATCACCTTTCGACTGTTACCTGGTGAATCGTGGCGTGAAGACGTTGCACGTGCGCATGGAGCAGCACTACAAAAACGGCATGGCAGTGGCACAGTTTCTGGAAAAGCACCCGCTCGTCGAGAGGGTTTTGTACCCCGCATTGCCGTCGCACCCTCAGCACGAGATTCACAACAAGCAGACAACTGGCATGAGCGGCATGATATCTTTCTATCTGAAAGGCGGACTAGCGGAAGCGAAGAAGTTCCTCAGTAATCTACACGTAAGTGACGAGTGTACGAGTTGTTGAATTTGTTGAAATGCAGATTATTTTGTTAGTAAACGGCTGATAAGGGTAGAAACATATGCCCATTGCTAACTCATTTACCAGCAATCAGCAATTATGAATGAAAATTAAGTGAAGGTTAAAAATGGATTTCGCGCATTTATTCGGTGAAATTGATCATCTAGTTCATACGTTCTGAACAAATGACCGTAAGTCGTCTTTCATGCAGATTTAGTTGTTGCTTCTTGCTTATTGTCGTAAACCGAGTATCATTACCATTAGGCATCACAGCATTCCACTACGCTGACTACTGGTACTCCTGGAGCATTCGTACACCAGACATTACACAACGCAAGAATTGCCTACGAGTCAAACTGACCAGTCAGTCAAGAACTGAGTTACCTCATTTGCCCAGTATCAAACTAGGTCGTTGGTGAGGAGTTTAGAAAAGTCTTATAGTGCGTCTTAACGTTCAACGCATATACCTGACCGGAAACGTACGCACTTCATGTTGACTGAGAAACGGCTTTCAGCTCGAAACAGAATCTATACGACCTACGCCAAAAACAAAGTGCGGTTATTCTGACAGACATTCAGCCATAGCTGCAGTCAGTGTGATGCGACGAAGGTCGAAAGGGCAAACGGACTAGAGACCACCTAAGTTTACTCTTGATTTACTGTAAATGTTACAGTCGCCATACGCGAGAAGTAGATTACAACCTGCGGACGCACCCCAAAACTCACGAGCAACAAAATCAGTCCTCTGTTTCTTTTGCCTCCCTGTACTTTTTTCGACATCTACATAAACTAAGCCTCAATGTTCTTTATGAAATAGGGAAACAGACTGGCCCTGTTTAGTAGATCCTGGGAGCGAGCCTTTAAAATTCGTACAAGTCGTTTAAGACTTACATAGCTATCTAACCTGTTGGGGGCGTAAACGGTTACGACATCTCAGTACTTCTTTTCACCATTTACTATTGCTGTGGTATATATGCAGCCAGATCCGTTGTAGTTACTGGTACTGTGCAACCGTGAAGTTTCTGACCGACATCAGCGTGAGTTTGCCACATTATGAAACATGATATAATAAACATATATATACCCTACGTTTTCTAGCATCCTCGATGAATTCAGCATTTGTCGAATAATTTTTTTCTGTTTATCTCCGTAGTCCAGGATTCTGCGGTGAAGGAGCGTTCAAACACGTCTAACTTATTGGTTTCCTTCTTGGTAAACGTCTGCGTTGTTTTGGCATACATGACTACTAGTCGAATAGTTGCTAGCTGACATACATGAGATTTTGCTGAGATACTAACAGCAGTTTTCTACAGCGGTAGCATCTTGTAGGCAATTCCTTCCTGAATATGAGCTTCTCAGCTTTCTTCGCTGGTGACGATCGATTCAAGATAGCATAACTTCATGACATAATGCACATCCACGCCGTAAAGTTTCATAATCTTCGCATCCTGTGGGACATACCATAAAACAAGAACTTCGTCGATGCCCAGCCCTGGCTGTTTTGATGGCCGCTAATGCCTTCTGAAGTTTTTCGGGCTTCGTTGCGATAACAGTCAGGCCTTCAGCATAATCGAGATCATAACCGGCGCCGTTGGAGAGAGTATCACTTTGCTATCAACGTTCGTAACCGCTTCGGTCATCACGACGTCGATGTAGCATTTGAACATCATCGATCGATGACCGAGCCTTACCGTACTTTGCCATCAATTAACAATCTGTCTGATGGTTGAAAAGCTTTGGTGTAGATGATTTTCAAGATGTTAACCACTTTTTCTGGAATACTATCATCTTTTACCGGTTGATACAGTATTCCACAGTCTGGAGAATCGAAAGCTGCGTTGAAGTGGAAAAAGGAGACGAACACCGGTTTGTGGTGCTGACAGTGTTTCTAGCAAAGCCCACAATATTAGGATGTGACCAGTCCTTGATAGACACATAGTCAAAGGCCGCTTTCCTTATCGGCTGCCGGAGGCAGACGTGTCAATGTTTCGAAAATCTCTTATCCTGTGTTAACGTCTGAGTTTCGACAGCGGAAAGCCTGAGTCTTGAGCATATTATGTCGATACTCTTTCCACAGCTAATTCTTGATCTTTACCAGTTTCTTCGACCGGTCAGTTCAGCCAGTAGTGGCTATTTCAACTTGGCATTTACTAAACGTGCCCAAAACACCGTAGCTGTAACCTCTCAATTTCGAGAAGCAGCGACCGAATTCCAAAGCTTTCTCGGATGTATGTACTTCATAGCCCGTAAGTTGACGCCCAAGCCAATCAGTTCATGTGATAAGTTTATTTCAGCCGGTTATACTCAGAATCGCAGGTTTTAAGTCATATAGTTAACCAGTTACCGTAGGTGAACTACGGTGTAAAATCTTTTACACGGATGCCGTTTAAGCTTCCTTTACGAAACGCGTTACAACTGTCCAATGTCTTCGGTTGCCAAACGGCCCGTCCTAAGCATCCAGACAATAACGATATGCCAATGTCTGATTGCTGCCTCTGAAAATTCAAATTTCACATCCATTTTTAAATTGAGATTGTTTGTTTCAGAATTAAACTCACTTTGGTAATCTTTCGAAACTTCCCATCAATTGTTTCTTTTATGAATTCGAAATAATTATCTATAGCAATTATTGGTAATGATTGATTTAGGTTTTCTCGTTGGCTGAGTCCCTCGGTGGCTTCGAAAGTTTGGTGGAATTACCGTACGTTTGCTGCAAATGTATACCACTATTTTGTTCATGCTTATTACGCTGTTTCAGGTCACTTATGACCCATGCTTCACTGTCCAAAGAGCAGAGAGCAGGTCTCGGCATCAGTGACAGTCTTATTCGCCTAAGTGTCGGTCTTGAAGCCTCTGAAGACTTGATCGAGGACCTACGGAACGCGCTGGAGCAATGTCATACAAACTGAGTATCAGTAACAGTCGAAGTCGCCTATTCAAAATTCCTGTTGCGTTGTGTTTTGTTTTCGAATCTGGTTTTAGTTGCTTACGTCCGGTTGTTGTTTTAAGTTTTCCTTAATCTGCTTCTTTCCTGTATTGTTTTTTTGTTCAACTCCCAAAAGTTCATTGTTTTCCATGCCGCTGTGAAATCACTAGCTACTTGCTGGA